ACTAAAATCAGCTGGTATTTGTAGCTATTCATGATTCCCTCCACCTTGATAAAAGCCCCAGTTCTGGCTGAAGAAAAGCAGCCCTAAAGCACGATGCTGCCACCACCATGCTTCACTGTGGGTATGGTGTTCTTTTGGTGATGTGCTTTTCTTTGCACAAAACCTTCTGGAATTAGGGAATTATTATACCTTTTGAAATTTGTCTCATCAGACCATAACACATTTTGCCACATGGTTTGGGGTGGGGTTAGTTCAGCTTGGATGTTTTTTGTGAGAAAGGGCTTCCGTCTAGCCGCCCTACCCCATAGCCCAGACATGTGAAGAATACGAGAGATTGTTGTCACATGCAGAGAGTAATCAGTACTTGTCAGATATTCCTGCAGCTCCTTTAATGTTGCTGTTGGCCTCTTGGCAGCCTCCCTGGTAAGTTTTTTGTCTTGTCCCTTTGTAAATTTTCAAGCTACGTACTGTTTTTGGTAATGTCACTGTAGTGCTCCATTTTCTCCACTTGTCGATGATGGCCTTTATGGTGTTCCATGGAAATTTTTTGTACCCCTCTCCTGATCAATTCCTTTTGACAGTGAGACCCTGTACAGACTTTGTAAGCTCTTTGTGGACCATGGCTTCAGGAGTCAGATGAAACCAAGAAGATGTGAAGGAAATCCTACAGAAACAGCTGATCTTTACTTGGGGTTAATCAGAATAATTTCATTGATGACAGCTTTATGATAATTACTTTTAAACATGAGATTAAATGTGATTCGTTCAATCTGAACACAGCCACATGCCCAATTATAAAAGCTTGTGCACATTTATGCAAAAAGTTTATTGTAACCTTTAAAAAAAATTTCCCTAAAATATTTCTGATTGTTTTTCACTTAATTTTTATACACTGTAATTTCACAGTGAGGGTGGGAAAAGTTTTGACATGATTTATCTTTGTTTAATTTTTTTCATCATATTTATATTATAATATGGCATGATTTGTTACTGATTACTGTATTTCAGCAGTTTATGCTACACTATATGGCCAAAAGTTATGGACGCCTGACCATCACCCATATTTGCTTATTAAACATCCCATTCCAGATTTATTCCCTCTTTGCTGTTATAATGAGCTCCACTCTTCTGGGAAGGCTTTCCACTAGATGTTGGAGCGTGGCTGTGGGGATTTGTGTTCATTCAGCTACAAGAGCATTAGTGAGATCAGACACTGATGTTGGTGAGGAGGTCTGGGGTGCAGTCGGTGTTCCAGTTCATCCCAAAGGTGTTCAGTGGGGTTGAGGTCAGGGCTCTGTGCAGGACACTCGAGTTC